ATCAAGTGCCATCTACTTCGCTGAATGGAGATGCTGAAAGTAACTCTGATTTACGTATCTAATTGGGATAGCTCAGCGCTCTCTATGGGTTCTAGACTTCTAGGCCCTGAGAAAAATGCTATAGAGGGGCGTATTGATGAATGGACAGACCAATTAGAATCATGTGGTGCACATATTCATTCTCTTGCAAAGTTGGCAAGTTGCAATAGGTTTGCAAAAGCCGCTACGTCCTATATGGATCTCACAAAGGACGCCTATATGGTTAAATGAAGTGCCAGAGCTTGAGTCGTGGGATAGCATTCCTATAATTCTAATTTCTGCATTTGCATCTGAAGCAGTTGCTACACAAAGGATGTCTTCAGAATTCAGCTGGCACTATATTCCCGGAGGGGAGATGATGAAGAGAGTTGGGCGCGTGGTCTAACTCCTACCTTATTCCGGATCATTGTAACCAGTTAGTTGCAGATATTGTTGAAAAAGATAGGGCTTATCGTGCACAGAGAGGTGAACATGGTTACATCAAGTCTTGATGGTACCAAATGCAATGATGATCAAACAAGTGGGGATCCTTGTACCAGTACCAGTACAATGGATGCACAATGTTCTAATAATGGTCTTCTACTCTTTTGGATTGGAACATCGAACCTTGCAGTATCATCTAGTTTCCAAGTTGTAATAATGGCGTGGACTGCATACTGAACTGTGACAGCACGCCAAAGCTACCTTCTAATTCATCAGAAAATTCTTACCTTGAGCTATCAATTGTGGGGTCAAAGGATGACCGATTTTCCTAATGAGAAACCTTCCAAAAGCAGTTGACTTTGCAAAGAGGAATTTCATTGCTGGGAGAAAAATATTGGTGTGCTGTCAAAATGGAGAAGGTATAAGTATTTGTGTGGCCTTGGCAATAATAGCCTTGTTATTTAACAATGTTGCTTCTCTTAGGAAACTGCTACACAAGGATTTGAGGCTCTTCCTAATTTGCATTAGTGCTTGAGATTATTAGTTCCCGCGGATGCACTTTTGTTATGCCATGTCAAGAAACATAATGATGCATGCTCTAGATTTGTTGATGAGCAGTTGTGCGGTTGTGCCCTCAGGTCCTATTTTCTTCTGTCTATACTTTAAGTATGTCAAGTATGGTTGCATCATGAATTTATAACTATTTGTTTCTTTCGAAAAAAAGGCAGTATAGGTGGTGATATCCCACCACGAGGCTTCAGTCCTGTGTCAGAGGTGTTTTTTTTTTCAACCTGAGCGATTAGTGTGCGCATATGAAATTGTCGTAGGACGCCAGGATATCATAATTATCTTGAAGTGCCCGTTTCTAAAAGAATATGAATTGCCATAGTGAGTTGTTTTTTTCATCCTCTGCAAACTTTAAGGAGCCATTTCTTCCGCTTTGTGAAGATTGTTCAGCAGTGAGCTGCTCCTGTGGCCACCATTTGGCGCTATGCAGAATGTGCTGAGTTTTACAGCGATGAGTTCAGACAATTTCACTTGAATCCAATTTGCCAGTGTCGACTATATTGTATTTTGTTAAACTATCATCTTGTATGAATACAATGTATGTGTGTTGGCTTAGATGGTTAAATAATTTTTCTTCAGTGTTACAGTAATAATATTATGCGATCATCATGGGGATTCCTTGGCTAGGTGTATGGTCCTGGTGGCACTGGTTTATACAAGTTCCTGTTGTTTTCCTTTTAATGCTATCTGATAGTATCTTGGCTTGGATGCTAGGGGTACTGGCAACATTGGTGGACGTTCTGGTTCTTATGGTGGAAGCTCAACGACAGTGACAGTCGCTGGATGTGATTTGCTCGACTTGCCATCAGCATAGCTCCTTTCAGCCATTTATATACTCCTCCCGTCCCAAAAAGAATGCAATTCTCTCTTCTCGACGAGTCAAACTTCAATTAACCATCTTTTTTTACATAAAAGTAGATCAAATAAATATCATTAAATTGATTATGATATATATTTTCATAGTAAATCTATTTGGAGACATAAATGTTGATATTTTCCTATAAGATAGGTCAAACTTAATTTTTTTTGTCTAGTTTCAAACCTAGAGTTGCATTCTTTTTGGGACAGAGGGAGTAGTTAAGCGGAAAACAGAAGAACAAGCCATTCAGCAGGACCATTATCTATTCTAGTGTTCTTGGATGAGTTCCTAGGGCTGTCAAATTTGTTACTTTCTAACTTGTTTGTGTGCTAATGGATGTATTTTGTTTTTTAAATCCTTGAACATGTTTTGGTAAATAATAAATTATATATGTTGAAATGTCAAGTAATCTGTGTTCCAGTTGCTTTCATCTTTTCTTTTCACTAAACTAGATGTTCTACTTAATTATTTACTCCGTCCGTCCCCAAATAAATCAATTCCTAGAATCCGTGCCACTATCATAAGTTTGACTAACTTTATATGACATAAAATGAGCATATTATGAAAATTTATTCTATGATATATCTAATGATACTAATTTGATGTCATAGATCTTGATGGGTTTTTCTAGAAATTCGGTCAAAGTTTAAAATTTTTGACTCAAGACAACTCTATGAATCTATTTATTCAGAGACAGAGGGAAAAGTTTAGTTCTCTCCTTCACTAATTGTGACGAAATTTAAAATATGGTTTTCGATCCAATTGCTTGTGTAACTGTTTCTTATTGTATTCTATGATTTAGGACTCAGGAGTGATGCTATAGATCATCTTGGTATTGAACCTTTGATTATGGACGCTCTTGAGAAGATTGAGGACATTAAGAAGCCACTTTTGAGCACCTTCTTGGTAGAGTTTGACAAGAATAACAAAAATTATGCCAATACATATATATTTTGTCTCAAATAATGTAATTTCAGTTAGCAAATTTATTAGATTGTTAGACCTTTTGAGGGATGCATATTTGATTTGATTATTAATGGTTACTGGAGGATCTGGATAGCACTGGTTGGATACTGGACCACAAAACGCTATTACATGAATAATTTGTACGGTTTATCTGATTTTATATTGTGAAGAACTAATGATGGCTTTCCCAACTGTTACACCATATTCAGCTAGCCAGTCTGGATCAACTGTTTAAATACTGATGTATGTTTTGTTTGGATGGGCAGAGATTAGACACAATTCCTTTGGACTGGAAGAGAATAAATCTCTGGCGCTGTCAATCCGTATATGGCTAAGCCTAAACCAAGCCTGTGCATACCAAGCCCCTACAGGAAACCATTGTGTTTGCATTTAGCTTCTTGTTCCTCACACGTTGTATGCCATTCTCATGTTTTCCTTTCCTACTGAAACTTGAAATAGTCTTGCCATTCAAAAAGAGGATCTTCCCAAGATTGAGGAAGAGCTTGAACTAGAAATTGCCAAAGTGAGCTGACTGAACTTCAGAAAAGAGCTTTCTCTGCTATGCTGCAGAGTGCAGAATCAAGAGAAGTTCAAAACCTTCAGTTGTGCTATGGCTAGATTCTTTTTAGCTTCTTCTCCTGTCCTGGTTCCCTTCTCTGGGGTCTCTCTCTTTTTTCTTTCTTTCTTTGTTCCCTGAGTTCTCTTTTATTTCTTTGTAATCCCCCCTGTAACCTGTTGTACTTTGTTTTCTGTTTTTGGCTTTTTAATATATTATTCAGTATAGGGGCTTTGCCCCCCTCCTGTTCCTTCCAAAAAAAAAAGGAATGTGTTGAAGCAATGGAGACTCAAATCCAGAAGTGTGCAATGTGCGTCTTAACTGAAGTTCGCTACTTGCTTGAGTGCCTTATCTCTACATATCTAATATCTCATCATGCACCAAGGTTAGGGCAGGGATTGTGCCAAGTTGCATGTTAGCCCATTACCTGTTGGATCTGGCAAGAACGCCATGTCCGTTCAATGCAGTTTCGTTCAGGTCCTCTACCCACTTCATCATCGACCTGAGCCATTGCGGAACTTTGCGGCCCGGTGCTTATTCCCTACTCCCTATGCCTACATACAAGTGCCGTGTGCCGAGCAGGCCAGGAGATGGAACGATGCCGCCACAGGATGACATGTGCGCCTTGGTGTTGGTGGTCTGCCGAGTGCCGCGGCGGGCTGCCACCCGTTGTCGCGTAAAAGCAGAAAGCGATACAATCATCATCTTGATGCCAGTTGCCCGCTTCTAATTGCATATATTTTGTGAAACACACAGTATCTGTAGTCGTATTTTGTAAGTTTCACGAGCAATTGGGTGTATTCGTGAAATTCTGTCAGGTGCAGGCGTAAGAAGAAGCTGAAGGCGGGAGATGGTCTGAACTCTGAAGAATACTATTCAGGAATCGACAATGGGTTCCATATGCTGGATGAACCACATCGTCTGGCGCTCGAGCAGTGCAGAGGCGCTGCGATCCTTTTTTGATAGACTCTGCTTAGTTCAGAATGTCGCCTTTGTCTTGTAATTTGCCGTTCTGGACTGTCGTTGGGTAGTTCTGATGGTCGGTATTCATGCGTATGTTCCCTCTGTGACCGTACGCATGAATAGGTTGCGGTAAAACAACTCGTGTCTGTTCTGTTATGGCTCAAACCTGATACTCTCTGTAATTTCGTTGCTTTGGTAATGAAATTCGGTCTTTACCGTTGTGGAAAAAAAGGAATCGGCAATGGGCGCGGACAAGGTGAAGGTGGGGTGAACGACATGGAGATTCCGTTGTGGCTTTAGTGGGCCCTAGCTGTCTGTGGGTCTTAGCTGGCTGTCGAGTGGTTAGCCGCCTTGGCGGGGTGAATAAATACCCCTGTAATCTGTGAAGGTTGTATCGAACAGACATTACTCTGAACTCTGAATAACCTGTTCTCTGAACTCCATTCCTGAACTCTGCTTTTCTCTGTCTGTTCCCCAATTCTACTCCAGTTCTTCAGTTTCTGTCCGATCCTCAGAAGGATCGTGACAAATTCTTATAACAGTAACTAAACATGGATCTAGTGGACATGTAAACAGAAACTGAAAGACAACGTTTATGGTCGCGTCGCATCAGGCAACGAACTTAGATCAGGGGAACATAAATATATGGCGGCGGAGGTCTACTGAGTAGGTAAACGCCTTCTCCATCTCGCCCAGGCAGCGGTTCTTCTCTGCTCGAGACCAACCCTGCAACAGATCAGGTGCATGCACGAGACAGCATTGTCAGTTTGTTCAAAGCTATCCATTTCACCAACAGGTGAACAGAAGAAGGCACAAAGCCACAAATCCTAGTTTCATGCAGGGCCTTACGGAAGCGACTCGGTTAAGCCTCGCCCGGACATTCTGCTGCATCTGCGACAGATCACCCTCCCACTTGTAAAACTCCAGCTCTTTCTGGAGATTGATCTTCTCGGCAACCTGTTGACGACCAGAGAAAATAATTTGTCTGTGAAGATACTACTAGCAAATGCGTAGCTGCTTTACAATATCTACTGATTATTAGAAAAGAAAAGCACAATGATGGTTTTCATATGATTTCAGACATAATTCATCGTCACCTTTTCGCCGATGATTCGTCCTACGGCAGTATGAGCAAAGTACACGTTGTAGAAATGGCAAACAAATGCCTGGGGGTCCTTCTCAGACAGCTCTTCCAGAAAGGAAGCATATGTAGTGCCAGGAGCAGACGGTTCCGGAATCGCGTGCCCTTGTTGCCTGAACCATTCCAAATCCTTGCCGAGTGGCTCTGATCTCTCCAAACCAGTATCCCTGAACTCGGCATCTGAAAAGACGTATCAGCAGAATGTCAACAAGCATGCAGCATCGTGGTACCAAATTATCTGAAACTTGAAAGCAATGTGTAGTTCTGAATTTCTGATGATGTATGATGTTATCACCACGACAAAAAAGCATGCATGAAGGAGAAGAATAGCACTGCACTGACACCAGGGGATGGCGGCGCGGTCGACGATGGCCTCGAGCGTCTCGAAGACGAGCTTGCTGTCGACGAGGAAGCGGAGGTACCCCTCCACGGTGGGCTGCCACTTGGCGATGGGAGGCTCCATGGGCGCCTGCGCCTCCTTCTTCCCGTCCCTGGCCGCCTGGTCCCTGGAGTGCAGCCGCATGGCCGCCGCCCGCATCTCCTCCATAAACGGGGTCCCCACCTCATCCCCTCTCGCGGCAGGGGCCGTCTCCGTCGCCACCGCGACCACCCTCCTCTGCGCCGCGACAGAAACCCCGGTCGTCCTCGGCCGGAACACGACGGCCACCACACGGGCAGGCGGTTCGGAGCGGAAGCGACTCGCGGGGGCGCCATCCAGGAGGGAGACGGCGGCACGGGGAGCGGAGAGCCATGCGGGCGCCATGGAGCTCAAGTGTTGGATCGATGGAACACGATCGACAGCAAATAGACAGGGACAGCAAATTCACGAGGCGCGACCGTTGGCAGAGATGGAGAGCAATGCGGGTGGCATGTGGCGGTGAGAGCTGGAGCTTGGGGGGGGGCGGGGAGTTGGAGCACTGTGTTTGAGCGGCAACAGCGTGGAGGGCGTGCACAGTGCGCGGGACTGTTTGTTTGGTTTTCATCTGTATGTTTTGATTTCCGTCTGTTTTTTCTTCGTTCACGATCGGGACTATTTTTGGTTTCTGTTGTCTAGACTCTTCGCGTCATTTTCTTTTCACATGTTCGGCACTATTTGCGCCATTTTCCTCACGTTTCGCGTACGATCCAATCCTCGTTTGTTTTCACCTTTCTATTCTAATTTTTCCTCTATAAATATCAAAGCAAATGATAAATGCTATCATATTATGAACCTTCGAACATTTGATCTCTTTGTTAAAACTATATATTTGCACCACCAAATCGTTGATACAATCCCGATTAGAAACAAAGCTTATATTAGTATAGTTTGGTTCACCTGATGGTCCAACTAATCAAACAGTAAACTAAAATCTTGAGCAATTTTGTTGTCCAGTTGAGTCTAATAATAAATACCTCTTCCAAATGCAATCATAGACGAGGCTAGCACGTAGAAAAACGAGAAAGACTTCCTAGCATAATCAGCGGACAAGCCAGTTGTCGACACATTGTTGACTTTAACCGGAGATAAGAATTATATTACAATTACTTACAGGTCCACAAATGACAATATTTGACTATACCAACGCATGCATAGTATGAAAGTAAAATTATGATATATTTATAAGTAAATATTTTTGTGTGCTTTGTAACCAGAGAAAAAAAACTATTAAGATTATATACGTCCGTTTCTCCCGCAATGGCGTCTGGTTTTGATTTGAGTTCCTTTCCTATTTTCTGTATATGTTTCCATGTTCGGTTATGATTTTGGTTTGTGTGTTTTCGATTCTGCAAGGACTGTTTGCGTCCGGTTTTTCCCCACCTTTAGGACTATTTGGTTTTCGTCTGTATGTTTTGGTTTCCATATGTTTTTTCTTTATTCATGTTTCGGGACTGTTTTGGCTTCCGTCCAGACTCTTTGCGTCATTTTCTTTGCACATGTTCGGCACTATTTGCGTCATTTTCCCCACGTTTCGCGTACGATCCATTCCTTGTTTGTTTTCACCTTCCAATTCTAATTTTGTTTTCCTCTATAAATATCAAAGCAAATAAAAAATGTTATCATATTATGAACCTTCGAACCTTTGATGTCTTTCTTTTAAAACTAGTGGCTATGCACGTGCGACATATACGTGTCTGTCAAATCAAATTTATTAATAGATAAAATAACAATACAGTTTAGATAGGAGTAAGTCAGTACATGGAAATTTAGAATATGTCTTACAAAATTCAGTTTATTGTGACCCCGCAAAAAAACCAGTTTATTGTGTAAATTCAGACATGCAACAAAATCAATTCTTAGCTCCTAACTAAATTAGCAATGTTGCCACATCTATCGTTCCCCACTTTTCATCGCCTGAGTGCAAGAACCATCTCACCATTAAGCAAACCATATGAAAGCTATATAGCACATACAACCTGATTGATGTAGCACGCCTGCATCTAAGCTATACAGTACATGAAAGCTGTTTTTTTATGAAATTGCAAGTATGTTATTTGTTTTGTTATTCTTACCAATGGCATCTCTGGTCGAGAATGAGAATATGTCCTTGTGGACATCGCTCGCCAAGTCTGCAAGTGTCATCCTCTCCATTTCATCACAACCATGTTTTTCCTAGAAATGGATCGAGCAATTTTTAAATTTCTCCAATGGACAGTAAAAGCTTCGCCTAATACCATGAATAAATAGTACATTAGAAGAAATAATCAATTTTTTCATGCGCGGCAGCAGAAATAATCAATTTTTTCATGCGCGGCAGCAGAAATAATCAATTTTTTCATGCGCTGCAGCAGTGAATATAATACCAGTTCTATTTTAATATAAGCATCATGTTCTTTAGAAGTTATATAATCAGCGAACGACATGTGGCTACGGTTTTCTTCTTAGGGATCGCTACTGATCTAGACGACATGTATAGAAAACAAAGATATAAAGCACTTCCTGGTGCAATGGGTTTCAAAGTTCTTAGACATCAATCTTCTCGTTGGCCTTCCCATATGAAAAAAAGAGTTAAATGCACCAGAGGTCCATTAACTTGTGATGAGGTTTTGGTTAGGTCCATCAACTTTCAAAATGACTTTTTGGGTCCATAAACTTTGTATGACGTATCACTTAGGTCCATACTTCTTCACGTTGGCTTCTCATGCTGATGTGGCATGATGACTAGGCTTCTATGCCCACTCCCACGGAAATGCTGCTGCTGCCGGTTGAAGTAGAGCACGCCGTCCCGGACCCTTAGCTCCTCGGCCAGCTTCGCCATCTCCGGCTGCTGCTACGATGGCGACAGCGAGAGGGACAGCCCCTGGCCTTCCACGAACGGGCCCCGGCGGCGCCGAAAGCTTGGAACGCCTCGTGGTGCTGCCGCACGTCCGCCGCGCAGCTGCTCGACGCCATGGAGCTCCGGCTGCGGCCGCTAGACGCCGTGGAGGTCCGGTCGCGGCCTCGACGCCCGCCCTCTCCGCGCAGCTGCTCGACGCCATGGAGCTCCGGCTGCGGCCGCTGGACGCCGTGGAGGTCCGGTCGCGGCCTCGACGCCCGCCCTCCCTGCGCAGCTGCTTGACGCAATGGAGCTCCGGCTGCGGCCGCTTGACGCCAGCCTCCCCGCGCGCGGACGCTCCACGCCGTGGAGGTCCGGCCGCGGCCGCTCCACGCCCGGCTCGCGCGTCTCCCCGCGCAGGTGTTGAGCCGGTGTCGAGGGCGGGGAGGGTGGGCGTCGAGGCCGTTGAGCACGGTGTCGACACCGTCGGGCGCCGCGGCCATGGCCAGGCAGCTGATGGTCCCGTACGTGTTATGGATAACCACGTTCTCCTCCGGCGGCGTCACCTGCATGCCGTCGAACAGCAGCGTCACGGGTGGCCACGCCACGGCGGTGGTGTTGAAGCACGTGTCGAACCCTCCCAGCGAGGACACAGGCGCGCCGACGCGGCACCGGACCTCGTCCCGCACGGCCACATACGCCGGTGCCACCAGCCGAGTGAACATGGTGCCGGAGTCCAGCACGGTGCCTGCACCCGTCGCTAGGTCGAACGCCGGCGCCGGCGCCGGGATGGGCACCACCTTCTTGCCAACGCGGATGCCGGTCATGTTCACGTAGTAGAGCGACGACCGGTGCGGGTTCGCCAGCAGCGGCGTCATCTTGGTGCGCTGCGGCTAGCCGTTGCGCCTGAGCTAGAGCGTCCCGAAGAAGTTGAGTGACTTGAAGTCGGGGGCGACGAGAAGGTGGCTGGTACATGTCCACGGTATGCGACAGAACGACAATGGCCACGGCCGAGCGAGCCCAAAGCAGCCTCGCGGCGGCGGTGCGGCCGTGCGGTGGCCCTCTGCGAGCACCCCGAAGGTGTAGGCCTTCACGGCGCCACCGGCGACGGCGAGGGAGTCTCGCGACCGCGCTCGCCGCAGCGAGGAGTCGGCGAGGTGAGGTTGAAGCCGCATGCCCGCCCGCCGCACGCCGCGTTAGCGCGCCGCCGGTCGGCGGGCGGCGCGGACGATGTGGGGCAGCCAGCGGTGGCGCGAGGGATCCACGCAGCGTCGTTGCTGGTGTCGACGGCCAAGAGCATTTCTTTGTGGCGGTGTGCCGAGGCGGCGCGCACCACGCACGGGCGTCTGCAGCAATTGCCGCTCGACGCGATAAGCGCGCGCCGCGCGCCGCCAGCCGAAGTCTAGGGTATGCAGCCGCGACGCGCGTCACGCGGCGCCTCGTCCGCCAGAACCCCACCCACGACGGCGCCGCCATCCGGGGGGGGCAGCGGCGGGACCGAACGCGTCGCGACACTGCAGCGTGTTCCCGGTGTCGCTGGGCACGACGAAGCTCGAGCTCGAAGTGCGACGCAGCGCGCCGCCGCCCGCGACCACCAGCCGGCAGCGAAGCACCGACAAAGATCCTAGCACCGCGCAGGTCGAGGCCGTTGAGCACGGTGTCGACGGCCGCAGCCGGAGCTCCATGACGTCGAGCAGCTGCGCGGGAAGGGCGGGCGTCGAGGCCGCGACCGGACCTCCACGGCGTCCAGTGGCCTAGCCGCTGGGACGAACGGCGGGTCCGCCTCGCCGCCCAGCACTGCACCACGCCGCGCATCCCGAGCCGTAGCGCGGGTTCCGGGCTGGAGCACGCCAGCCCCACCAGCAGCGCGCGCCGCGCCTCGTCCTCGTCGAACTCCCTGCCCAGGCGCGGGTCCATGGCCTCCAGCAGCCGCGCCTCCCCGCATGATCCTCATCGTCAGCGCCGAGGCAGTGGCGCTCGCCCACAAGCTATTTGACAAAATGCATTGCCAAGAGCTGCTTTAACATGCCATGTCAGCAGGCCACGTCAGCATGAGAAGCCCGCGTGAAGAAGTATGGACCTAAGTGATATGGTATACATAGTTTATGGACCCAAAAACCATTTTGAAAGTTGATGGACCTAACCGAAACCTTCTCACAAGTTTATAGACCTCTGGTGCATTTAACTTAAAAAAAATACTTGAGCCGAGTACATGTGCCATGCCGTGGCACATTTTTCATTAAGAGGGATAAAAGTAAAAAAATGGTAATCGGAGGATTATCGATTTGAGGGCACGCAACCAGTTAAGATCTGGCGTTACCTAATATAACAGCTACCTAATGCTCAGAGATGATACAACCCTGAAAGTTTCAGTGATGTCAGTACATGTTAGATGGGGAGCCAAAGCTGGCACTTTGCTAACACAAAATCACATATCATAATTAATTTTCCAAATGTGACGATGTTACAACCAGGATCAACATTTATTGCTTTACAAGTGGTGTGCTTCAAAGAACAAAGATCAGAAGGATTGTGCATTGGGATGTCGCCAGGTGAAGGCTGCTGCCGAGGAATGCACCAGGCAGCAGCTCTGTCAGGATTGACTGGAACCTAATTTTTGGACTGGAATAATTGATTTGCTTAGCTCAGAAACCAGCATGCAGTTTGATTTGCGAGGTTGAGCACATAAGACTGAATAACTGAAGAAAAAGATGACCAAGTAACTGAAATGTTGGACACGGAGCAGCGGTCTGAAAACGGTAATCGTTCAAGAGCATGAACCTGGATTTATTGACAATAACAGTTAGTAGGACACTCTGAACTATCTGAATCTGAATGTAGGATAAACATGAACTATATTTAACTTACTGATTGAAAAATTAGCTCAGAGGGGTCACAGACCAATTAGAACATTAGCTCCTCAAATTTAATTTACCCCAAAGAAGGAAGTGTTAAAGGACTTTTAAATAATAATACTATATTCAGTTATTGGTAAGCTAAATATTAGCTAATTCTAAGAAAACTTCTACTTCTTAGTTGTTGAGACAATCATGATATTCATGGAATTTGAAATCATACCCTGATTATAACCTTTGGATTAGAAGCGGATATGTTTTCTTTTTGGGCGTGTAGACTTCTAAAACACATCGAGTGAGAGAGGGGTAGTGAACCTTATTATGGAGAGATGAGGTCTGTGTGCGACGGAACAAATACAGGCTTTTGCAACACACTGGGTGCCACAGTTGTGCGTATAGATTCACCACCATATTAGACTTCACGAAAGCTGCTAGGCATAGTCGAATGGTCGAATGTTGAGCCACACTGTTGTCTTGCTTTGGCCTCCACAGCTCCACCTGCAACACCTTTGTAACTCGTAGTACAGAGATATAAAAGTCAGATGGATTCCACGAGTTTTCTTCTAAAAAAAAGGTGGAGCAATGTTGAGTATTTTTTATCTACAGAGCTAAGTTGCGTGATATAAACACTTGAGCTGCTTTGCCTAAGCAGCAGCGCCTTCGATTTATGCATTTCTGCACACCTATGCCAGCAACAATTTGATTTGTGATTTGGGTATGGCTGACTGCGAATCCAGAGAAGTCAATGGCATCAGTATTGACCAATGACCACTACAGCACCAGGCTTTGAATCCAAACTCTTAACCTTGGTAAAATTCCATTTTAGTCAATGCTGAAAACATCAGTGTCATCAGCATTTAAGTTTGTTCCAAAGTTCTGATGATTGTGTCTGCTGAGGAGCCTTCTGTATATGTTTCCAATGCTCGTAAGAGTTTTATGAATTTGACTCCATCATCCTGAAGCAGTATGTGACAAGAACTTAAGTGTATGCAGGGAGGAACATAAGATGAGGACACTTTTATCCCTAGAAACTAAAATGGTATGGTACTTAAATTTTAATTTCAAGTTACCTGTGGCTTCTTAAATACAATCACCCGGTTCGCTTAAGCTGAAATTTGGCTTATGCTGATATTTATGCTGAAATGTTGTGAGAAGAAAACACTATTCTATGGCTGAAAAGTAGTTCTGAATAAGCTCAAGCGATCAAGGCGAAGGTCGGCTGTCTTGAAAGGAACCAAATGAGGAAGATCAGAACACAACGTGGCTTAATTTCAATGATGTTTGACGAGAACAATGATGTCAATCAAAAAGATGCCAGACTAATTTCAAGTGTGTAAGAACTAAAATTATATTTAACTGTTCAGACCATGCATTAACCAAATCCATTGCAACAAAGGCATCATATAACCAAATGAGGTGAAATCATGCCAACATTGCTAGAGTTTCTGTGCATATACAAGTGGATGCTGATATACATGAAAAAAAAGGAAACAAAGGAGATGAGTTATCGTGTACACATTGCCTGTTTCGTTCGTCCTCAACTTCGTCCACGGATTTCGGTAGATTCTCCAAGGAACCTGTTTAGAATTTTTCAAAAGAAGGGACACCTTCGAGCATGCAGCACGGGGAACGGAGAGGCATGCGGGCGCCATGGTGACCAAGTGCTGGATGGAATGGAACACGTACGATCGATCAACAGCACACGGACAGGCAGGGGCGGAGCTTTTAAACAAACTGTAGATTGTGTCATGGATTGTGAATTGTGATTTGCAGTCAGTCGGCATGATCTTTTGCATCTTGCTGGTTGGATAGGCGGCAACGTGGATGGAAGTTAGAAACCGATACGGATAAGATGTTTTACAGCGGTGAATTTGGCAGTAAAGTTTTACACCGTATATTGTTGATTTGCAATTTGCATGAATACCGAATCGTGTAGGTTTTTTTTTTCCTTTTTTTTGTCCTTTTTCCAAAGTCTTCTAACAGTGGCGAGGATCCAGCTCCGGCCGAGCTCTTCTTTGCGCTTATAATAAGCAACAAAAAGGCAGTTGACCTGCCAAAAATTGAAAACTTCAGTGTATATTCTATCTATCTGATCTGTGTCGTCGTCTCGTGTAATGATCAGCGGGTCAACGTAAATATATTCCGTGTTCTCGAACCGGAAATTATTTATATATCTAGGAAATGGGCGGTTGCGGTGCTTATTAAAAAAAGTGCAGTGGCGCTGTTAGTTGTCAACAAGCAGGTGAGAGAGGCTGAGAGCAGGCAGGCGGCAGAATATATAAAATGGAAAAATGCGGCAGAAAAAAATGGCAGAATATATATAAAATAAAATATATGAAATAGAAATAGGGGGCAGAAAAAAAATTAAATATATGAAAATTAGGGGCATTCCGAGAATTGAACTCGGGACCTCTCGCACCCTAAGCGAGAATCATACCACTAGACCAAATGCCCATTTGATGAGTGCCGTTTAAACATTTTTTAGTAATTTTAGAATAAGACAAATGAGATGTATTACTGGTTACTAATTAATGTGTACTCCTGTGGTCCTCCCCCTCGCTTAGCTTAGCTTTGTACAGAAAATAGGCGTATATTGTGCGCTTCCTCGAGACAGGTACATCAAAGCTTCTTGTGTGAATTCAAAAGGAAAATGTTTCACTCGGGCATTTCTCTCCTCTTCTAATTAAACCCGAATTGATCTTCCAGCGATCGAGATTTGAATCTTTTTGTGTTATGGCTCAGGATTTTGGATTGGGGATTTTTAGACTTGAGACTTCAGAGAGGAAACCAAGGGAGAAAGGTTGGCTTGGTGGTATGTAGATGCGGATAGTGTGCAGGGTGCAAGGCGTGGTGAGAGTGATGGTGGATCGGGCACTAATAATTATCTTTTTCTTTTTGTGCTTGATAAATAATGGAGCATATAATCTACGTTGCATAATTGATAGAGTTATTAGACCATTGCTTTCGTTTCCTAGTTAAATTTTATGATTCGAAGGGAAAACCAGAGCTAACAAAATCAAATGCCATTGGCTTTCAACATGCATGCAATAAGCCAGTAACATTAAGGGATGTATAAGCCTAGTTAATTTCTGTTTCATGGGCAATTCAACGCTTCTGTTTAAATTCTCTTTGAAATATCTTCTCTGGTAAATCCTTAATTAGGAGTTAGGAACCCTTAGGCAAAATATTCCCTTTACAGTTTGCAGCTCATCAATTCATACGGTACGGTTATATATAGGGATGAAAATGGGACGGATATTTCCCGTTATCCATCCATCCCAAAAGGGTCAAAACCCTATATGGGTAGTCCGTATCTGAATCTAAACATTTAATATCCTACCGTATCCGAATCCAAATACTCAAAATAAGATTTCTGATATGTATATGCTATAGATATCAATATCCGAATGATCCATATCCGGTTCTAAGATCCAAGAAAAAATATGGGATATGATACGGGATATGGGCCATAATGCAGGATCACTGCTATCCGTCTGTATCCGATCCGGTATCATCCCTAGTTATATATGTGCAGCATGACCCTCTTGATTTAAAAGACATTCAAATATATATATCAATATCAATCCAGCTCAAAGATAGAGATAAAGAGAGTTATATATGGTATGAACTCTCCTGCAAATCTGCAATACAATCCCAAGCCACTGTGCCCTCCTGCTTTGATCGGAATTCAGAAGTGGTGTCCATGATAGATGCAGATAGAATTAATATGAAGTAAACAAAAGTTGTATATATCATGGTAGACACACCAGCTGCAGTGTAGGATATGCATGTAATCATCAACGATTCCATAACCAACCAGCTTCTGCGGCCTGCAGTACTGCATCACTGCATATACATTGCACTAGCTAGCTACTAACAAGCTGTGTGTGTTGATTAACTTGCACGCCACTAAAACGAATCAATAAATAAATCAATTCGATGAGTAGTGTACCAAATAGTATTGTACCTAGATAGTACATTATTATTGTGTACAACTAACACTGCACAAAAATCAAACAAATCCTTGCATAAGAAAATACACATCACACAAACTACGACTAATGGAGTTGAACTGAAAATAATTAAACACGTATATGTGCAAGATCAGGGAACTCCATGAGTATCGTCCCCTATTGTCCCCTCGTTTTTCCAATTCCATCTCTTGATGGCTAGGTGAGTGCAGGCTTGAAGTATTGTCTCTCTCTTGATGTTGTGCAGTGGTTGGACGATGATTGGATCGAAGGCCAGGGAAAACTGAAAAACGTACGCTATATATACAGTTCCTGAACTGCAGCCTAATTAACCAAGTTCAAGCAAGATGGTCTCGAATCCGTCCTGTCAATGGCCATATGCATCATGCATGCAGGAAACCCTAACGCATGCTGAGTGGCCGCGTGTGAGCATGCATGCCATGGCAGCACCACTCACCGGTTGATCTGATCACTGCTGCTGCGAGGACAGCGGGCCGAAGATGTCCAGGAAGCTGGCGGACGGCGAGCCGAGCGTGGCCGCCGCGACAGGGCTGAAGAAATGATGGTCGCCAACGTGCTGCAGCCACCCGGGGGACACCAGGGGGTGGTGGTGCTCGCCCTTGAGCACGGCGCCGCGGAGCGGGCTGAGGTCGCGGAACAGTAGCCCCGACGGCGACACGGAAGCGGCGGCCGCTGCCGATGGAGCCGCGGCCTGCTGCTGCTGCTGCTGCCGCGTGGCCGTCACGGACACCGACACGGCCGGGCCGGCCGGCCGGTTCAGGGCGCGCGCCTTCACGCGCACCGGCGGCGCCGCCCTGGTGGTCTTGCTGCGCGCGCCTTCCGACTCCTCCCCAGCGCCTGCTCCTCCTCCGGAGGTTGACGGCCTGCTGCTCTTCTTGTCGCCGCGGCCGGCAGCTTCGGGGCCCGTGAGCCGCTGCACGAGCGGCAAGAACTCGTGGGCCTCGACGTGGATGACCTTGGGGGACACCATGTAGATGATGACTGGCTTCCGCTCCTGTTGCCCGTGCCCGTGCCCGTGCCTGGCGCCCGGCTTGCCGATCTTGCGCGACGCGGCGTGCACGCCGAGGGCCCGGCCGGTCCCGGCGGCGGCCCCGCCGTGGCGCGTGACGTCGGCGTCGAAGCTCGCGGCGGCCATGGGATGGATCAACGCAAGGAGACGACGGCGACGATCGATGGAAGGATCGGATGGGTTACTATTACTATATAGTATTGGATGATGGAGGCAAGTAGAAGTGGACACGAAAGATTTGAAGGCGACGGGCTAGCTGACGGACAGCAAGAGGCTAAGGCTTTGTACGGGGGATACATGGGCAATATATAGCGAAGGACGGCGTCCTGGAGCTCTTGGCATTATGTGCTCTGGTCAACCAGGAAAAATCGAAGGGACAACAGTGCAATGGAAGGTGGCACGTGCCTACTAGTCCATCCAATGTGCCCATTTCTCGGTAGCCCAAATGTGCCGCATTCTCCGTTGTACTATAACCATAATACGTACTCCTGTATATTCTCATCACCATATCGAACGGTTAACTAGGAACGTGACACTGATGAAGCTGGGGTTGCAAACCAGCGTTGGGGTTGCTCCAACCTCATTCTTCAACGAGCATATGAAAGAATGAAAATGATGGTATGCATCTGAGGGTGTTATTCCATTCAACTCAAAGCACTTGGCAATCTATATGGCATACATGGCACTCTTAAAAATAACAAAATGAAATTCTCAATTAGTATTATTGGCCTTAGAACATCTCTAAGAGTTTTTTTTTTCTAAAACTCACACTCTAAATCATCATTTAGAGAGCGTCATTGAATAAAAATCGCTCTCTATATTTTCACCCTCTAACAACTTCTTTATATCTTGTATTCACTCGAAAGAGCTAGCCTTGCTCTCTATCTATGGTTAGTGAGAAATCTAAAATAGATGATGGTTATATTTAGAGTTATAATAAAAAAAAGTTGTTGGGGGTATTTTTTTTACCAAAATTCTATTTCTATCAATTAGGAAAGATATATAAAGAGACTCTTGAGATTGCTCTTAAGTTGTTTATAAGACAACACAATTTATCCTACCGTGTATATGCTATTTTTAATATGAATAATTTTCACAATGTATTGCCCTCACTCTATGAAACATGATATAAGATACCTAGGATGGGTGCAAAAAATTACTGCTGCCTCCATACTAAAAAAAATAAAGTTGTTTTGGACAAAGGTTTTGGGTTAAATATTGGGAATATAAAATCATGAATAACTTTTAAGTTGTTGAGTTTAGTAATATGAAAATCATATGAATAAATTTGTCTTGAAAAATACCTTCATAAAATATACATAAAAATTCAAAGTTATAAAAATATTTTTATAAAAATAAAAAGTCAAAGTTATACTTTGTAAACCGTGTATCCCAAACTAACTTTATTTTTAGCACGGAGGAGAGTATATTCGAATACATGGTCATCTTACCCAATAAGGCCACAATGGATCCTGCCACGCCTATGTAACAACCACGCACCCTTTTTGACAAAACCACACAGGCTCTTTGGGCCCCACCCCACCAGGGATGCAGGTAAGATCGATGGGCCGACCACGAAAGGATGGGAGAGGAGACTTTTGACCTGTTCGCTTGTTGGTTTTAGTCAATCTAAATTAGTCAGTTAACAATGTTTTTTTTTAAACTAATACCAACTGGTCCAAACCAGCATCAACACTGGTTTTAGTCAATCTAAATCAGTCAGTCAACAATGTTTTTCTCTTAAAAAAACTAATAACAACTGGTCCAAACCAGCACCAGCACCGATCAACCCAACAGGCCCTTTGGCAAGAAAACCCTCGTCCGCGCGCCATGAACAACCCAGCCAGTAGCAGAGATAGAATAATGCAAATGGCCAACGGCCATCCCCTCGCGCTTTTGTTTACCCTTTCCTGTCAGCTTCGGCTGAGCGCGCGGGGCGGGCGGGGGAGGCCGCCACGGCCTGTGTTAGTTCACCTCACGCCATTGGCCGGGGCCGCCGCGAAGTCAGCACCCGCGTACGTGGCGGCGACTAATGCGCGAGAGCCCCGCCCGGCGACTTGTGCGTGCCTGTGCTCCGCGCGCTTATCGCATTGCCATTGCTGGCGTGGCGGCGAGGCGCGCGCGAGCTGCAAGTGGCATGGTGGCTGTTGGTGGCCTGCTGCCTGCCGACGACTACCTGGAAGGAAGAGGACGACGAGGAGTGGCCGAGTGGGAAGTCGTCGCGTGCGCAGTAACGCCGCACGGCGGCCGCGGGTGGTGGTTCCTCGATCGGTCGTACGGCGACCGTACGTACGCGCCGAGTACACACCATGTATCTCTGGCGAGAAAAAAAAATACATGCCGATTTTAATTACACACAGGCTTTCTTGAACCAGTCAGTATTATCCACCCCAACAGCAATGCATAAATTTCCACCATCCTTTGTTTCATTTTCCTGCTCAAATAAAGGTACGTAAACACGTACACAACTTGTAACCAAATTACTCCGAGAAGCACTGCGGCTTCGATCACTCGCTGACATTTATAGTAGTGCAAAATAAAAGTAAAACACAAGCACGTTGAAGCTTGAACCGCGTAGCCTGCGACGACGATGCGCCACTAGTAGCGACCAAAGATTTTAGCGACCAACTTTTCAACTGAATTACGTAAAAGTATGATTTTAGATTTTCATCACGCCATGAGACTCACATTTCAAAAAATAGAAACACCTTCAATACGATGTCGGATGAAACTTTTATATGTAAATTGTAGAACTAGATGAGATCTACTATTTTTATAGTTTTAATTTTTTTTCATTTGAGGACAGTAAGATGCTCGAAAAAATAATATAAAATTTCAAACCTATATTTTGTCGATCTGATGAGGTCTACAATTTCAAAAAATAGAAAACCCTTCGATACGATGTCGGAAGGGAAGAAATTTGAGTCCGCTTTTCAATATGATCTACAAATTTTAGTTTTATTTTTTCGAGCATTTTAGAACGTCAAGATGCTCAAAAAATTAAAACTAAAATTTGTAGCGTTCCAACATAGAAAAATTATCTTCATGAAACATCTTGAGGAGGGTTTTCGAATTTTGTCTCAGTTGGAGGTGTTTTTGACCGGTTTCATAGTTGAAGGTTGAAAATCATACTTTGGCGCAAGTTCAGGGTTGTAAAGTGTGCTTTACCCTAGATTTTACCATGAAGAAACTGCATAGAGAGCATGCGTATCAAAGGCCAAAGCCGCTTTTCAGCAGGTTCCACCCTGCTTCGATATGTATGCGGCGCAACAAAAGGCCGTGACTACTAACCACCCTGGAAGACCTCGCCGCAACCGCAAGAAGAACACAAAAAAAGGCATAGACAGGTCATTATTATAGATAGCAGGTAAAAAAAAAGGCGCAATGCAGCACGCGTTCCTTACGACAAGTCACAGCCGCCGCCGCCGGCACATTTCCGTCCTTCTCTCATCCGATACCACCGCCACCACCACTGATTAATCGACAGCAGCAGAGCAGGCGAGGCGAGTACCTCGTTCCCGGACGCCGCCATCGCTTTCCTCCGAATTGACAATTACCGAGGGGCACCGGGCCGCGCGCATGGGGCCTGACGACGACGACCCGATTCAGAGCGCTGCGCTGCGCTGCTCCGTCGTCTTCCATGCTTGGCCGTGGCCGCCCCCGGCGCGCCGCGGAACCGTGCAAGAAATCGGGCACGCGCGTGCGTTGCAAAAGGAGGCGAGGAAGACCGGGTCCGCCGTCGCTGCTGGTGTTAGCGGCGACGACATGCAGGGCAAATGGCTTAGATTAATTTCGATGTGAAGCGACCAATTAAACCTTGAAGGGTTCCAAGGAGATACCGTCATGCTCTCAACGGTTTCAGAACTTTCTTTCCAAAGTGGGGTCATCTTCAGAAGAGACTGCAGGATCCTGCGTGCCCTGTCTTCAGAAAAGACTATTGAAATTCAAGCCACCATCTCGAGTTTGGATTTGGAAATCTGTAAAGTTGCAATCATCAGCTGCAAGAACAAGCACGGAACTCGATCAGATGGAAGCCGTCCGAGGCTTGCCTTATGCAACACCACGCCAGCATGCACTGTGCAGTGCATACTTCATTCAAAAACCTTTCAGATACAGAAAGCTGGTTACCCCGAGAGACGAACTGCAAAACTTGTTAATTCACATACTATTAGTAGCATGAAATTGCTTTCCTCGATCTTATTTTGTATGTTCAAATTACTCAGAGTCCAGTCGTCCTGAAGCGTGGTATACAAATTTCTGTACTGTGAACTATAATCGCATATATCAACAAAACAAACCTTTAAAAAAATAATGATACAATTAAGACGTCCGAACGGACGTACGCCTCACTCTGCTCACTCCTGCACCCGAAAAAAATCTTATCCCTCGCTTCCTTCTCTCGCGCCCTGCCCCACCCCGACGCGCAGCCATGGCTGACTCCCTGGCCAGTGGCGGCGCATTCATCCACCCAGGCGTCCTCCTCCCCCACCCCGGCATCCTCACCCACCGGGAGCACCCAATGCCCGCGGATCCGGTGGCCCTCTCCCCCACCCTAGCGAGGTCCATGGAACAAGCGAGATCCATGGTAGTGGCACAGCGGTATTGCAGGAGAGTCGTGTAACACCCTCGGTGTTACACTGTACAGTCTTTTGTTAAAACATTGCATGAGCATTGTATTTATGTGTAAATGTGTGTAATATAGGGTGCAAAGCAATGTACGTAACTTGAAACGTTCATCGGAAACGTGAAACGGATGTTATATTTCATGTCGCGTTATATCACTTAGGGTTTAAACGAATTTTTATTGAACAAAAATACTATAGAATGCATGTACGGCGCTTTAAAAAAGTTTATAGCATAAGCTTCATAGGTGATGGTGAAATACTTACGGTCGAGAACGGGATTCACTAGCTAGCATGCTTAATAGCTTGGAAATCGAATTTGACGCGAAACCGATCGAGACATAGTCGAATTTCCTAAGTCGGAAAGCGCTTTGACGAAGCTAAGTTCGACAATTTTTGTAAAAGAATCGGGTTAAGTAATGGTAGGGTCTTAGGGTTTGCTTTAGTAGCTTGACATGCATCTCGAGTGTAAAATCGGTGGTTTAGCAACTAGATCATTGAGAT